AAGGTGTAATTGGAATAAGCCCAACAGAAAGCGTAAAGGGGTTTGGAATATTGGGAGGCGATGTCTTATTGCAGGATAGAGGCCAGAACCAGAGAGATGACACAGAAGAGAAATAACAAAGAACACCAGCTAGTAAACTGAATTACACTCCCAGTGAGACCTGGGATGCTAGAAGCTAGTACATGCTGGAAGATTAGAAGACTGACATAGTTTTTCATGTGGCTATATACATGGTCCCCTCCCTCCTTGTCCTTTCAAAAGAGGCGGGGCTTTGGGTTGTAGGGTCCTTCTGTGGGCAGTAGAAAAGAAGCAAACTCAGTGGGATGGTATGTACTGGCTCTGAATTAAACTGAAACCACTTGCTATGGAAAATGGTTTAGTGAGATATACATTGAGGTTTTTGTGTCGGACAGAAGGGCTACAACACCAGCCAGTTCTGTGCTATGATCAGAGTTTTGGGATGATAATTTATGAAGTGTATGCATGCGTGCTTGTGTGTAAAACCACATTAAAAAACACTTTGAAGAAATCATTACAATCCACTAGGGTTAAGATCTGCCTTCCTGGTTTTCTGCACTAAGACAGCTTCCATAGTGGATGGAATAAGGGGGAATTTGTGACTCTTATCCCATTTCCTGCTTTTCAACAGCTTCTATTACCTGACTATTGCTGATGACCGCAGTCAACATCGGCCTTTCTAATAATCTCTCTGTGTCTGAAATGTTCTTCTGTGGATGTACTTTTGAAATTCACAGAGGTTTGCAAAGGCAAAGTGATCGATGCTCAAAACTTTAAAACTTCACAGGAGAAATTAATGAGTGAATATAAAGGTATTACTTTAATTAGGTGTTTAGATGAATAGCAAGATTATTCAGGAATGTAGGATCAGTCAAGTGCATGAAACAGAAAAGAGTATTTTCAGTTGGAGGCACGCAAGGTCCTTCACAGGGACTCCCCCATTCCACTTCTGCTCGTATTCCACTTCTGCTCCTGTTTTCCCTTCTTTTTCTCGGTCTATTTGTTCGTGTCCTCTTCCTCATTCCTTTACTTTGAACAGAATATGTATCTTGTGCAGATATATAATTCAGAATTAACATTCACAATGTGGATTTCCTGTGAGATGTTTGTGGAGAAGGACCGAGTGCGTCAATTTGGTCTTTGCATGTCCTGTACCATGAACTCTCAGTGGAACATCACAAGCATTGCTGCAAGTTTGCCAAAGTAATGCACTTCATGCTGAAACACTGACAGTAAAATCATTGAATCCAGGCTAGAGGCAGAGGAGAAGATGCTTTCTGTGTAGGTGCCATCCTATGGCTTCTTCTAGAAGTCAGATGTCATGGAAACTTCTAGAAGCCAGAAACACCTCTAGATGCTACATGCTGAAGGACTAGAAGTCTGACGCCTGGGCCCACATACTGTGGACAACATACTTTGAACACACAGTATCTTGTCAACCCAAAATGTTCCATAACTGACTCATAATATTTGTAGTTTCAAATCTGTTATCCTCAGACAGAATGTTAAAACTGCAATAGTTTTAATACAAGTAAAATGTTATTTATTGGGAGTTAAACTCCAAGAATAAATACCATGATGACATCCTCACGACATGCAATGTTAACATTTATATTGCTGGCTCTCAAGGACATACAAAATGTTTGATATTTTTCAAAATTTAGGGTATCGTTTGCCAGTTTCGTCCATGGGTTGTGAAAGCACAATTTTAGTCACAGAAGTGCCAGTTCCTGCCTGTGTGATGAAGGGCAAGTTACCTGTTTTTCTGACCTTTCATTTCTTTAGTTGATCTACTGGCATTTCTATCTCAGGCATGTTAGGAACATCATGGACAGGTCAAACACCTGGCACACGGTTTGTGCACCTACAGCTACTATAGTATCTTCTGATATTGTAGTTAAGAGATCAAAAAACAAGCAAAAACACAGATGAAAACAGGATGCAATGAGAAGAATTTTCAACCTGCAGAGAACGGAAGGTTCACGCAAGGCAAAATTTATGATGTGCCCTATTGGGATGTTAGGCTGGCAGCAAAAGCAATTTAACTGAACTAATCTAAGTTTGGAATCTATGAATGTGATTGGTGGTCAAGTCCTAATACAAACACTGATTTTCAATCTGGCCTCTATATAATAACCGAGAAAATGGCAAGAAGTGATGAAATGCTATTTTCCCTTCACTCTTGAATTTCCAGAGAAGTTACAGACTTGGAACACACCACCATGCCTATACTAACACGGTGCATACAGTGCACCTCTCCAGGAGAAGCAGATTAGTTTGGTGGTTCTTGAGGCTTTTGTCCTGGAACTGGGAGTGCAGCCATTGTCTCATTCACATTTGTTTTCTGAGACAGGGGCTCATACTACCTGAACTTCTCAAGTAGCAGGGAGCATGGGTTTGTACCACTGTGGCAGCCTCCCAATCACATGTTTTGTACCAAATGTTGCCACTTAGGTGCCTTGTCCTCATCAAATGAACCCATGGCATGTTAGAATATCTGAGTGGCCCTTGTGATTCCATTATACCTTTGAGGGAATTGGTCTTATGTACAGCAGACCGCTGATAGGTATCAGCATTAATCACAAGTTAACTGTCTCCCCTCTGGGGCTGGTTTCCTCTTTGTGGAATGCACGATACCCTGTCAAGCATGGTAGTGCTTCATGACCCAGACCTGGAGCCAACAGAAGCTCTGCTGTGTGTTGAAAAGCATACAGCCCAAGATGCCAGAAAATGAGGTGCACTTCCAACCCTGAAGTGGTTCACTGCTGAGTCGCAGCTGGCCATGGACATGTGGAATTTTACTGTGTAGAAACAGTGGCAAATTCTGGAATAACTGAGGTACAGGAACAGAACGCTTTCCCTGGCATGTCACTCCCACAAGATTAACCAACTAAACCTATATTGAGGGCTGCCCTACTAGTGAGATCAGAGAACATTGCAGACGCTGGATTTACAAAGACTGGTGAACTATGGACCTGTACGTCAGGGGGTCTCCAAATATAACAAGAGAGACAAACACAATCATTACACCAGAGGTATGTTATATCACTGCTGTGTATTATAAAGCAAATTTAGTGCATTTTCAGGACTTTTTTTTTTGCATTTACCATGAGGTGAGTCATAAGTGTATATTCATTTCTTCAGACTTCTTACTAATATGATAGTCATTTGTTTTCTCCTTATGCTGTCACTACACCAGAAACAAATCCTAAAACAATGTTTAGTAATTTGATACTAGGGTGTAAATTTGCCTTCCTGATAGTAATTGTTACAGCTTGTGTCTAGATGTCCTCTCAAAGCCTCATGCAGTCACAAGGGAGGCCTTGAGCCTGGTACTGATTCATGGTGCAGTGCTGGGAACAAGGACACTGGGACTGAGGGTGTGAGTGCTAGCCACCTTAAGTAGCCTGCATAAGATATAAGGGACAGAAAGAGCTGTGTGCATCCCTTTGCTTGCTTTGCTGCCTCCTGCTCAAAGTAAACTGTCAGTCCTCTGCAATTGCTATCTGCCATCCATCCAGCCTGCCTTGGAGCCAGCGGATTATAGTCTGAAACTTGGAAAATGTGCGAACCTTGTTCCTTTAACTTTGGGTGTCAGGTATTTTGTCTCAGACATGAGAAATGTAAGAAGGTATCGAAATTTATCTGCAGTTGTTTCACATCATCTGTGTGTTTGTGAGTATGGACAAGCTGAGAAATTCAGCCTGCTACCACTGTTTGGTCAGTAGCAGTGGTATCTCCACTTACTGATGTCATTGTATGTTTCTATTTTATGTCGTTGTTCGTATCTAGCCCATTCCTCTGTGTGGTAGCATGCTTAATACTTCAGGTGTCTGTTGTCCTTGGGAAAGGAATCATTTTCCATAGTGCTTCTGTGAATGAATGCAGTCAAGAAGGCTTTGGGAAACAGGGCTAAGTTATTTGAAAATTGGACTGTGTTTTTAATAACCACTTCTTACAGTGCATTTTCCCTTGATGAAGCAATTATTTAGTTGAAGAAGTAAGGATCCAGGATCCCTCTGGCTGAAGCCAGCAGGGTGTCAGGAGAGAAAAATGTGTAAGTTGTGAGGCGATAAAGGTTAGGGCACATAAGAGGTCTTCTCTCTAAGGCTAGGCCAAGACAGGCTCAGGGGAATTCTGCAAAGAAATGGAAAGGAGAGGGTGGGCTTAGCTTGCTACAGTGGGAACTGTGGGTGCACTGTTGGCTAAGAGGGCAGGCAGGATGACAAAACAAGGAGGTGACAGGGCAGAGAGACCTCCTTGCTCCATGACATGACTCTTTAGACTGAGAACGTAAATCATACTGGAGTTTGCATGTACACGGTCCCAAAACCCCAACAGCACTTATCAAAAGAGAAGACATGATCAGGGCGGAGCTCCATGGAGGGCGGAGTCCCTTGCTGTTCAATGGCAGATTCCTTGGAGTAGTGCTCCAGTGGTGAGGTGTGTGTAATTCCCAGGGGAGAGGGCAGAAACCAGGAGAAGCTGAGTGATGGGGAAGCTGAGGCACAGAGAGGTTGGGTAGATGTAGGCAGTTTGAAGACAAGCGTGTATGGAAGGGCTGTGCCAAGATGCCAGGTCAGGTTAAGAACCTGTTGAAGAAGCAACTGTGCATGGCATGACTCAGCAAAGATGCCACTGGTCAGTGTGAGGAGTCCTGGGGCTTCTTATAAATAAGCCCACGCCAATCATCCTGGGCAAAGAAGGCGGCGAGGAAGTCTTCAAGGCACTGTGTGCACAAAGGCTTGCGCGTGTGTTTCCTGCAAAGGAGCAGGGACCTGTGTGGGGCCAGGGAGAGCAGCAGCACCTGGCCTGAAGGCACACGTGGAGAGACTCCAGTGGAGAGTCACAATGCAGAGCATCTCTCAGCGCGGGCAGGAGTTCCCAGCCCCAAAGGTGCGGGGCGCCTGCGCAGTGCGTCCGCGGCGCTGCGTTCTGGGGGCTCGGGGAGATCCCCGCCCCTTCGCCCTGCATGGTGGACGCGCTTGGGAACACGCCTGCCTCACCTCTCTCAACCCCAGCTGGGGCTGGGGGAAAGTCGAGGGAGGGGAGGAGCGGTGGCCCGAGGCCCGCACAGAGGCAGGCGCGCGGCGGCGCCATGGGGGACAGCGAGCAGAGTCGCGGGCTGCCTAGCGCGGGGCGGCGGCGGAAGCGGCGCCTCCAATCAGGCTGCGGGCTGGGGACCCTCCGCGTGCCCGCAGGCCGCTACCGGCCCGGGGGACGACTCAGGCGCCGCCCCTTGTCCGCCCCGCCTCCGCCCCATGCGCGCCTAGTCGTCCGCGGGCTGCACCTCTCAGCGGAATCCCCGGCTCATCCGCGCTCACTGCTCTCTGGCTGGCTTGCCGGGCGGCTCGCCTGCTAGCCTGCTCGCCCGCTGGCCCGCGCTCCCGCGCTCGCCAGGCCCTTTCTGTCCAGGCGTTTCGGCGGCGGCCTCGAGGATGAAGTGCAAGCCGAACCAGACGCGCACCTACGACCCCGAGGGCTTCAAGAAGCGTGCGGCTTGCCTGTGTTTCCGCAGCGAGCGCGAGGACGAGGTGCTGCTGGTGAGCAGCAGCCGGTACCCGGACCGCTGGATCGTGCCGGGCGGGGGCATGGAGCCCGAGGAGGAGCCGGGCGGCGCGGCCGTGCGAGAGGTGTACGAGGAGGCAGGCGTCAAAGGGAAGTTGGGTCGTCTGCTGGGCGTCTTCGAGCAGAACCAAGATCGCAAGCACAGGACCTACGTGTACGTCCTGACCGTCACCGAGCTGCTGGAAGACTGGGAAGATTCGCTCAGCATCGGGAGGAAGCGACAGTGGTTCAAGATCGACGATGCCATCAGGGTCCTCCAGTGCCACAAGCCGGTGCATGCTGAGTACCTGGAGAAACTGAAGCTGGGCGGCTCCCCCACCGATGGCAACTCGGGCGCCCCGCCGCCGCTGCAGCCGCCGCTGCCGCTGGAGAGCGCTCCCTAGTACGTACCTCCGCGTCCGGACCCCTCCGCTAGCCTCCCCTGAGATCAGCGGTGCGGCCGCCCGAGCGCCTCTCCTGCCATGTGCGGTCGTCGCACGGGCCGGAGCGGGCTTCTTTTGTTTCGTGGGCAGCCAGACCTCTGAATCTCGCTTGCAAATGATCTGTCTCAGTTGCCGGGCACTGTGTTCGGACAATTTGCACGCTTTTCAGCTGCTTTGAAGAATGGCCTCTTGGCGACACCATAAAATGCTCGGGCCTTGGGCAACCCAAAGCCGCAGGGGATTTCGCGTAAAGGTGCCTTAGCCCTCGCTAGCCCGGCTCTCGGGGTGGGGTGGGGCGGTGAGGGTGCGGGGGAGGCGTGTGAGCGCCTCCCGATGGTTGCTTCCCAGCCGCCCCGCGCATTGCGCTGATGGACGTTTGTGCCTGTGAGTGTGTGCACATTTTTGGCGCTAGGGTGCTGGGGGTGTCCCGCCCCCTCCCCACCGCCGTGGAAGCCTGTCAAGTTCTCCCTGCTTGGTTGTGCTGGCGTCTTCTTGGTTTATCCCTTTCAGTTGTTTTCTCATCCACAGCCTTGTTCCTGTTCTGTGAGCCCTTCTGGGGCAGGAGTTTCGTGGAAACTTGCCTTTCAAACTGAGAAAAGAAAAAAGAAAGAAACATTGGAAAGTTTACGTCCTGTGTGCTCTTGCTAACGTCAACTGTAATTTTAGCCTCACGGATGGGGTCCCGTGTGCCCCTTTCAGAAATGTGTTTGGTCTGTCAAGTATCGATCATGTGATATGTCCAAACATTTCTTTTTCACAACGTGTACTTCTCCATATCACCTGATACAGCAGGTGTTTCTGCGAGATGGCTTGCCAGACAGATCTTGATGCGTATGTCTCCTAGAATGCGGTTTTGCCGGCTCCACTTCCAGTTCCCTTCCTGGACACTCCGAAGAAGGGTGGTTGTCTGCACAAGTTGATTTTGGAGAAAAAGTTAGCTCCCATATTTGAATTGAGTGACAACCCAGTTAGAGGTCCAGGACTGGCAGGAGGAACCCTGGGAATGGAATCTTTGGTGGTGGTTGCATCCCAGTTGAGTTAAGTCTATTGCTGTTCAGCTGTTACAGATTTCTCAAATTGCTGGGACACCTGAGCAATCTTTTCTGCAGAGTGATGGTAAATATTTTGTTTTCACACGACAATCTTCTGGGTAGTAAATTCAGTGCTTTTACTAGTATCCTAGTTTACTAGAATCCTTACTTGAGATCAAGAATCCCATGGGTAGGTCTTCTGGAATTCTGTTTCCGATTCTTCCTGGACATGTCCTTAATAAGTCAAAGCAAATCCTCTTTTGAAAGTTGGTTTTGCAGTTTTTCTGCTGGTTTGGCTAACCACTGTATGTCATATGTCTTACACATTGTTGACTAATAATAAGCATTTTGAAGTAAGTTTTTAAATGATTTTGTATAAAGATATTTGCACTTTGCTGCCTGAGTTTAAGTTCCTGTTGTGGATTTGATCTGTGCTTTGTTAATAGACTACAGCTGGAGGAAAGTTTGTACATGTGACACTTAACATGTTAAAACTCTTTTGCAGATCAATTATAAATGGAAATATCTGTAATTTCATATTTTGTTTTCCTTCAGATTATCTTTAAGTAAGTGGTCATTTTAATTTTATTGAACAGTTTTTCATATTTGCTTCAACTCTTTAAAATAAGCTGCTTGCCATAAACATATCTGAATAAAATAGTTAAAAAAAGTTAATATTTCCAAAGGAATGAATAGAAAATACCTTTTATAATAACTGTTATAACCAAGTATCTATTATAATACTTAAATATTCAGAAGGTTTGAATAAGATTGCTAATAATGGTCCAATAATGTTAAATGGTAGGTGTTCTACATAGCCCATGATTTTGTGAAATGTATACTAAGATTAGAGAAATAGTTTTTGCTGTATTTCATACATAAACTGGATCCATGTAAAATGACACAAATATAATGTTCTTTGATATTCAACTTATACATGACATTGTTAGAGATAATAGTGAACAATCTTATTTTTGTCTTTTAAGGTATGTCTTTTACAGATGTGGAAAGGGTACTTTTAATGTTAACCAAATTTCAAGTGTTGTTACCTTGTAAAATTATCTGTTTTATTCAGAAACAGTACAGTTGAATACTACTGGTTGCTAAGATTTTCTTTAGCATTTAGATATCTTTACTTCATGGAATTTGCAACACTGTCTAGGCTTTTCACTCCTAAATTTCAACAGATCATTTTTAAAGTTACCACAATTCAAAGTAAAGTTTTAAATTCTCACAAGTAGTTCTTTTTAAATGTATTTATCAAATTCAATCTAGGAAAAATTAAATGAAAAGATATAGTCTTTGATTTTAAAAGGCTTAATGTGAAAATTTTAGTGTAAACAGGTGTCTGTAATGTGTATTCTCCAAAAGTTTGATGCACAGGTGGATTTTTTTCTCATTATAGAGTTATTACATAGCATCTATGCATTTTTAGTTGATGATTGCTGTGAAAGTGTACTCCTGAATCTTTTCAATGCATACCACACGTAAAATTCAATGCACTTATTAATGATAAATAAGACTTTCAAATATGAAGTAGAAATTTGTTTTAAGCACGTTTTTAAAGGACTGACCTTTTCCCCTCACTGGACAAGTGCCTACACTTGAAAACTGTTTTTGAAGACATTTAAAGGGCAGCAAAGGGCATTTTGGTATGTATGCCTGATAAAAATCTCTGTGTTGTATTTTCTAAGAAACCTATATTTTGTTGATAAAAATCACTGTTGAAAGAAAGAAGGGATGAGGAGTGCCTTTACAGAATTCTTTTTCATGGTTTCCTACAATTGATTTTGTGTGAAGCATTCAACTTTTCTTTTGTGCCAGAAATATCAGTAAAACTTGAAGTGTGTATATGAGCAAAAAAAGAAAGTTTATAATAATAACAGTGTTAGTGGCCCTTCTTGGACAGATGGTTTCAAAGGGTTCTGAAGCTGATACTGTTCTCTTATTTACTTTCAAATGGAGTTCAGTTGTAAGAAATAACAGTTTCTCTCCCAATAGCTGTTAATTTTGAAAGAGATGAAAAATAGTGTTTTAGAACAGTATTTCACAGTTTCCCAGAGCTTTAATTTTCAGAATTCATTTTCATGGAAGCACCTCACAAAACAAATGATTTTGTCATCATTTTAGTATTTTAATGTTCTGATGGACTATTGGCCTATTAGAATATCAACTCTGACTCCTCCCTATAGAACAGTAGCTCAGAGCTTAGAATAGTGGCTAAAATTTGGAGACATTTGCCATTGATTCACAGGTTAGAAATACCTACTAGTGTCCATGTATTCCTGATTTCTCATCTTTATAATGTACCTGGAACAATCTGTTTTCTGGGTAGATTGTCTTCTACCCAGACAGTAGAACTGTGCTGGATAATTCACTGAAGCCTTTTCTAATACAAAGTGGTTGATGAACCATAATAGATCCTCAATAAGTATTTGTTGACTAGAGGAACTGATAAACCAGTAATATCCTATTAATAAGATTATCTTTTTTTAAGTGAATGGCATAGATGTTGTTCAGATTTACTTTGAAAGAATCAAGTATGTGAACCCAGTGGTGAATGGAATTGTGAAGCACAGGTGAGCTCGTTGACATCCCCAGTGACACAGCTCATCCTATGCTTTTTGGACACGTCTTTCTTGTTATTACAATGGCTTTTCATTGTCCAGGTTGTTGCATTACCACTATATCTGTACAGAATTATATTTGGCACCTGTGGCCTTTTTGTGGTTATATGGTCATTTACCTTTTCCCCACCAGATATGACCTTGATTGCAAGGAAGTTGCTTCGTGTGTGTGCGCACACGTGAGTAATAAGGTATCACCTGAAATATGGTAGACATCATTGAAGATTTGGTTAAATAATATTTTGTAATGACATTGAGTGGTAACACCTCCTTATCATTAAGCTAGCACATATGTGGCTTTTTATATCAGATGTCATACAACTGTTTCAAGGAAGCTGTGCAATACTAGCAAAAATTCTGATACATAGGTCTATGCCGTTCTAGACATGTACTTCCTGATGGCAGTATATTAGCTATGAAATATATTTGCCAAAATTTTGAACTTAAATTTGACCATGCCTCTAGAAAATGCCTAATCTATAAAAAATACAGAGGACGGAAATATATTGTTGTGCACTATAGATATGAGATCAACAGAATTCTGACTTCAAGAATCTCTCTACAGGACAAATGACTCAGTTTCTTCAGGAAATAAACAGCAAGAGTGAAAGAAAGAGATGAAGAATGAACCTGTAAATTGAAAGAGAATTAAACATATTAACATTTACATGGATCTAATTTGGATCCTGACTTGGCCAAACTGTAAAATGAATTCATTTATGAGACAGTTGGGGTAATGTGAATATTGACTGGATATATGGTATTAATTGTGATAATGATATTGTGGTTATGTTGGAAACCAGCTCTTATTTACATTTAAATATTTACTGTTGGGATATGCTGTCTTAGAATTGCTTCAATATACTAAATCTAGATATTGAGTACATTGGGGGTATTTAAATAAGATTGGCTTTAAGATTGTTGAAGTTGTGTGATGGTTAGATGATGGTTCATTGTATATGTTTATATCTACTTTTGTATGTTTAACACTTTCTATAATAAAATGTTAATAAAAATAATTATTTTAGTTCTTCTAATTAAAGCTAATATATAAGGTAGAAAGAGAAAAAGAGGGGTAGTTTTTTATATTATTTAAAAAATTTTGGCTATGTGATGTCGCTTCTGGTCTCAGAAGTAGTAGTCCCTTTACCATAGACCATTGTTGGGAATTTTTCTTTTAATTTGGCTTATCAAAATAGGGAAAGTTAATCCTTATTTATACTTATTGAAAACAGAATATTTTCATCTGTGCTGCTGAGCAGGGATTTTGACATTACATTTCAATTCATACCAGTATCAAAAAGGAGTGGAATCTCCAAGAAACAAGTTTATGTAATATTGTAAAACCGTACAATGCCATTGTTTGAACAGCTTTAGGGAAGAAGAGTAGCTGTATATGTTTTTGTCATACATCAATTAAAGTTTATGTATATATAGTATTACTACATGTTTGTGATACATAATGAATACATTCATCATGGGGAGTTTGTACATGTCACAGCTGAATTACTTCACATTCCCCATTACTTTCTCCTTTCTCCATCTCTAGGTCCCCTTCCTATCTACAAGAGGACTACCCCCCCATTTCTTATTATCTTTTATTTTGCTCTTGATTTATAGTTCCTGTTTCTCATATAAGGAAAACCATGTGCTATTTAACCTTCTGTGTCATTGATTTCACTTAGTACTGTGGTCTGAAGGTGCATCCATTTTCAAATAGATTAATATATCCTTTATGGCTGGAAAATACACACACACACACACACACTATATATATATATATATATATATATATATATATATATATAATCACTTTTTGATCCATTCATGTATTGATGCTCATATAGACTATTTCCAAGATTAGCTTTTATGAGTCATACTGCTATAAACATGGGAATGCATGTGTCACTGTAATGTAGTGTCTTTAACTCTTTTAGGAAGACCCAGAAGTGGAATAGCTAAGTCCAATGGAATTACTATTCTTAGTTTTTTGAGGAATCTCCATACTGTTTTCCATAGTAGTTGTACTAGTTTACATTCTCACAATCAGCATGCTAGCCTTGCCATCATTTGTTGTGTTTTGAGTTTTTGATGATAGTCACTCTTTCTGGAATAAGATGGAATGTCAACAATGTTTTAATTTGTATTTCCATAATAACCAAAGATGTTGAATACTTTTCCATGTACTTATTAAGAAGTGTCTATTTATTTCCATGTCCTTTTTTCTTCTTTCTTTCTTTCTTTTTTTTTTTTTTTTTTTTTTTTTTTTTTGGTACCAATTACCTAGATTTTGATTGGGTCTTATTTTGGGGAAGTCTAACTGTTTTTAGTTCTTTATATATTCTGGATGTACTACTTTGTCTCAGTAACAGATAAATTTTTTCCCATTCTGTAGATTGTCTCTTCAGTCTTTTGGTTGCTTCCTTTGTTGTGCAGAACCTTTATAATGTGACATAATCCCGTTTTTTGATTCTTGATGTTAATTCTTGTGCAATTGGGGTTCTGTTCAGTAAGTGTTCCTTATGCCTATGTCTTCAAAAGTTTTACCTGTTTTATCTTCCAGCAGATGGTTTCAGTTTTAATAGCTAGGTCTTTGATCCATTGCAAGATGAGAGACATAGGTCTAGAATAAATCTTCTATATGTAGATAACCATTATTTGTTAAAGAGGCTATCTTTTCTTCAACGTATGTTTTTGGCCCTTTTGCTAATCGTCAGATGGCTGAATATGCCTGGAGATATTTCTACATTCTGTACTGTTCCATCAATCTATGTGTCTGTTTTTATCATTGTAGTTTTGTAATATAACGACACCTGGAATTATGATGCCTTCTGCTTTACTGTTGTTTTCCATGATTGCTTCTGCTATTCTGGATATCTTCTGATTCCACATGAATTTTAGGATTGCTTT